CCATCCCTCAGGCCCCTAGGCATATTCTAGAGCCACTCTCTGATGCAGCCCAGTGCCGGGTCCCCTGGAAGATTATCCACATTGTGCATGTCAGTGGACTTGTTGGCTCCTCTGCCCTCTGGCTGGGTTAGGCCAATGGAAGGCAGAAGATCAAGGAGGTGGATGTGTGTAGGCCTACCCTCTTCCTGCTTGGAACTTGACAGCCAAAAACATGGACAGCTGGCCCTTCACATTCACAAGGACCACTTCATCTGTTTCTACCAATTATAGATCCAAAGCACTATGGGAAAATGTTGCAAAAATAACGGAACTCCTAATACACGTGACCCATGAGCTCTTTGAAGATCCACAGTATCCTCCAGCTTGTTGCTTCTACCCCTCCCAGGAAGGCTCTGCCTGCAAGAGTCTTCAAATTTCTACTGTCCTCTACAGTGCCACAATAGATCCAAAAGTTTACAAACTGCTTAACTCAGTTTTTTTTCAAGTTATTTTCCAGCCCTCTCATCTGAACTTGGGCCAAGTGTAGTCAATTCAAGTTTAAAGCATGTTGCATATATATGCCTCAAGTCCATGTTCTTCATTTAAACACACTGACCTCAAGGTCCTTTTGAAATGTATTTTTCTCACTTTCCTCCTACAACCACAAGTGATATAATAAACTAAATGGCAAGGATCACAGCTGATCATTTGTCAAACCTTCATTTGCGCTTAGCTCTCCCCCACACTGAGTATGAGCCCTAGCTCACTCCACAGCATTTGGAGCCAGCTTGGGCTGCTCTTCAAAAGCTGATTATTAAACTTTCAAACATTTTGCAAGCCAATTGCTAAACACAGCAATTATGAAAAACTAACTTATATAAACTTCCAATTAAATTATATTAAAAACAACTGTAATAAAAAAAAAACTCACTAGTTCCTAATTACTTTACTTCCCTTAACTACTGTCAAGGCTCAGGTACTGTCTGTTTTATCTGCATGCTGAAAGTACCACATCATGGTACACATCTCATTTCAATTCCAGTCATTGATGTTGCATCAGGGGATAGCATCAGTGTGCAGTACATTCAGTAGTAGCTTGCTACACTGAAATTCCTTCTGGAAGCACCAATTCAAATCCTGACTGTTCATCTGTGAACTAGCTCCCTGCCCATACACGTGGAAAAGCAGCAGAAGATGGGTCAAAACTTGGATCCCCTAGCACTCATGTGGGAGGACCAAATGAAGTTCCAGACTCCTAGCATCAGCTGGGCCCAGCCCCAGCCATTTCATGCGGTTATTGAAAGAACAGACATCATGTATTACTGCATCTGATTGGTCAAGCTTGGATCCTGCGGCTGCCCTTCAGCTCAACTGAAGAGTCCAGTATAACTTCTGGGCATGCACACCCACTTCACAGGACAGGGAGACAGTGCTGGAATGGAATTTGGACTGCAGACACCCAGAGGGTGTGGACAGCCTGCTCACCAGGTGCCCAGCTAAGGAGACCCCTCAGATGTCTATTTGGTGAATAGTAGCAATCACTCTGCTAGTTCTTAGAATGGACAACACACATACTGGCTTTGTATAATAAATGTTCCGTGCATGCTATTAGCATTGTCACCCTCCTAGATGACATAGCTGAGGAACAGAAGGTGAGGAAACTTGTCCAATATCAGCAGAATTCTCCCACAGTATTTACAGGGCTTTGGTTCCAGGATCCCTGTAAATAGTACCATCCAGACACCCACGTCCCTTATAGAAATGGTAGAGTATTAACGTGCAAGCACTTTATCTGTAAATTATTCAGAATTCCCAATAGTGTGTAAATTCTGTATAAACAGCTGTGCTGCATTGTTTAGGGAATAACGGCAAGAACAAACGTCTATCCAAGCTTGGCAAACATGCAATCTTTGCAAAAATAGTTTCATCCTCTTGTTCAGTGGATCCATAGGTGAAGAGCCCAAGCTGCAGGGGGTTGATGGGAACTTATGAGGAGCAAGGCAGTACCTCTCCTGCTCCCTGCTCTGCCTGCATGAACAGCTACATCAACCAGCCTCTTCGGCTGCTGAGGTCCACTCTGAAAAACAATGCCTTGGAGAGCTTTATAAACTCGATCTTTAATGAAAAATGATCATTTCTGCTCTGCTGCTGTGCTGTTCTTTGTGCTGGAACCAATGCAGTGACTTGGATATAAAGGCAGATAAGGGACCTGCTACAGGTCAGCCTGCCCTACCAGCCCTCCTCCCACATTCCCACCAGGGAGAGTCATCTATGGCCTTAAGCCATGTCTCCAGGAGAATTCCAGTAAACCCCAAACAAAGGACTTAAAAAGGCAGTAAAGCTTTTATTAGACCAATAGTTTGTTATCTCTCATGAGAGCTTGGAGGCAGGTAAGTCTTGTGTCTCTTCAGGAAGTGTGGGGGAGGCCGAGGCAGATTGGAAGGTAGGGCCAGCCACAGAGTGGCAGGGGAGGAAGGAACCTCCCTAGCAGGTGGCATCCAATGCCAGCTGGGTCCGCTTGCATTCTGAGTCATCAGATTGCCCAGGAAGGAGCTTCTCATAGTCAAATGAGAAAGCCAGGACCCAGACCTGCCCAGGGCCAGCTGCTTTCCTCTTTCCTGGCTCACTAGGTTCCCTCTGTCAAAGCTTCCACCTCTTCAAAGTTCCAGGAAGGTGTCCCCTGCCTGTGACAGGCACCAGAGAGTCACCCCGTGATGCCAAAGAAAACACAGCAGACACACAAACCCAGACATCACTCTTGTCTCTGTTCCTTCTGGAAGCTCTGTCGTTAAGAACTGTCCTTCCTCAGTGTCACTGGACCCCTCTGCTGGGGGCACAAGGCCTCCCTGGTTTTCTACCACTTGGACATGCTGTCCTCTCCAGACCAACAGCAGCCACAGCTTCCCCAGCACATCGTCTGTCAAGAATGACACTCCACGTCTTCCGTCTTGTCTTCACCTCTAGCTTATCGGTCTCTGGAGGATTCTCCCAGCAGCCTTCACAGTGCCACCTGGGGAGGCTTTTGTGATTCCACTGCCACATTCTTATTCTCTCCTCCTCAGGAGCTGGTGGTAACCACAAGGAGAGCCTTCATATACGGAGCCCATCACGTGTGTCAGGCACTGGACACCATTTCTTATGCCAACCATGGCAGGAAGTGACTCAGGGCTAGCAGCACACTAGGAAGGGTGAGCATTGGCTCAAGGTTCAAGTGCATACTTGTTTTCCTTCAAATCCCATACTATCTCCCCATCAGTTCAACTTCCATTCTCTCATTTTTAGTGTAAATAATCTCCTATTTCAAAACTGAGGGAATGGCATTTTGGCTTGCGAGTAAAGCTACTGCCTATGATGCCAGCATTCCATATGGACACTGGTTCAAGTCCCAGATGTTCCACTTCCAATCCAGCTGCCTGTTAATGTGCCTTGGAAAGCAGCAGAAGATGATCCAAGTCCTTGGGCCGCTGCATCCACGTGGAAGACCCGAAAGAAGCTCCTGACTCCAGGCTTTGGTTTGGTCCAGCCCCGTCTATAGCAACCATTTGGGGCGTGAACTGGCAGATAAAAGAGCTTTCTCCATTTCTCTCTTACTCTGCCTTTCAAATACATAAAATAAATCCTTAAAGAAAAAAAGAGCATTGAGGCCTCTGGGTATGGCCCTCCTCAGCTTCCTGTATACATCTGTAAAGCACCTGTGTGACATGCATCTCACTCCCACCTTCCCAACCAGCTCCTCAGGAAGCCCAACATGTCCACAGCCATCTATAAGGTAGAGACTGGTGTTATACCCATTTCACAGATGAGGAACAGACTCAGAGATACTACAAAATAGTGGCAGAATGAGACTCCAACCTAGTGTCCTTCCACGAGAGGAGCACACTTGTTCATTCTTGCTACTTTTAGACTAGAGATTCCCAAAGTATGGTTTCCACGCCAGCAACATCGGCATCACCTGGGAACATACTACAAGTGCTAATTATTAACTCTAGGGCTGGAGTCCAGCACTCTGAGTTGTGGCAAGCTCTGCAGGCGATCCTGGTATAGGTGAAGATTTGAGAATCAGTGCTCTATTCAGGGGGCAGTTTCCGAGAGCACAGGAACAGCTGTTCATTGATGTCTGTGGCCGCTGCCAGGCTAGGACGCCTCAGTGGTGACAGTCTGTGGCACATACCAAAATACCTACTGTTTGACCATTTCTACCAGAAGGCTGGAGACCTCCGTTCAAGTGTGTCACCAAATCCTTCGGATATATCTTCTAAGTATGTTTCCATACCCCCATCACAGCCTTTCTCATGGTTTCTAACTTAGACTAATGAGGTAAACTCCTCGTTACAGTCTCTCTGTCTGCAGTCTTGGTCCTCTCAGTTCCACATCCAACACAGCTACATTCCCCACAAGGATTCTACCTTGTCACGCCTCTTCTTAAAACCCTCTTAGCTTCAAAACCTTAGGACTTGAGCAATGCACAGAGTTCTTCATGACACAGTGCCTGCCCTGCTGTCCAAAGAGCTGCTGCTAGTTCATGATTCACCCATGACCTTTTCACCCCTATGCCTTTGCAGGAAATGTTCTCCTGACCCCTCTCATGTGGCAAACTACTCATTCTGCAAGATCCAGCCCAGATGTCATCCACGAAGCTCCAGAATTCATCACGTCCCCTTCTCCCTGGTTTCCTCTCATTTGTTCCCTTTAACTTAATGCTGTGTATGCAGATTACTGGCCCTATCCCACCTCATTAGCTGTGACGTGAGACAGGCAAACAGTTTTTTACCTGACTTGGCATCTCCAGCACCCAGGACAAGCCTGGCCCATAACCCCTCAGTAAATGTTCACTGAACCGGCCAGAGGCTCTCTCTTAGTCACCCCGGTGCCCTGGCAGTGCGCCCTCACTCACCGGCTGCAGCTTGCAGACAGCAGTCACTGCCGATGTGGCCCTGTGCCTTTCAGGTCAAGGACTGTGCTCTGTGTGTTTATGGTCCTCCACAGCAAACAACACAGAGCCTTGTACACAGTGGGCACCTGGAAGGTTATGAAAGCTCCAAGGAATCATTTGGCTCTTTGTGAGTTATTCTTTTAGGTGAGCTTTATTTTTAATCACTTTGGGATTTTGAAGCTAAAATATACTCATTGTAGAAACTTTGCATAGAAAGCAGGTAAAATCACCTACAATCTTTCAGTCTATATATGTTGTGCAAGACCTTGAAGAATGGGTGGAGGGGCTGTATGGGGCTTCACTTGTGAGTCTGAATTCCACAGTTCCATAGTTCTCCAGGAGGTTGTTTATTAGGAAATCTGCTTTGGCAGCAACTTTTTCACAAACACTAGAAATCAATAATGAAACTTTCCTGAACTCTAAAGTTTAACTCTTCTGTTACCTCTATGATCTTCCTTTAGAAGAGAAGCAAGCAGACTCCCTCAGAGACCTTACGGCTAAGAAACACAAGGATCCAAGCCTCCTTCCTAAGCATCTGCCAGCCCCAGGGACCCCAGGCCTTGCTTCCTGGTAAAGGATATTTGTTTTCCTGGGGCAGGCATGAAGGATGTGCCCAGTGAGCTCAGGTCAATACAGGATGAAATACCTGGGGGTACATGGGGAAGGAGACCTCACCCCGCCACTTGAAGGCAGAGAGGCAGTTGGAGGGTGTGGGAAGGACAGAGTCCGCACAAGCGCCAGAAGCTTGATTTTGGTGCAGGAGAACACCTGATGTTGACCATGCTGAGACTAGAGGCTTGTGATGGCACCATCAGCCTTCATGATCCACCACCAGCGTGGAAGCACTGAAAACACTAGAGGGGTGTGACAGGTGGACACCCAAGTGACAGAGATCCAGGGAGCCCAGCTTAGGCTTTACTGACAGCCAGAGTCAGCCTGACGCAGCACCCGGGTCCAGGGAGTGGCAATCCCCACCCCCTGAACAGGAGTGTCTCAGAAGAAATGTAAGGGATGGAAGAGTGGGGTAGAACGTTGGCTTCTGGTGGCAGCCTTATCTTAAAGGAAAAGTACATGGGAGCAGAGGTATAGATGTCCTTCCCCAACTTCCAAACTTGTTAGCCAGATAATTCACTCCTCCCTGGGAAAGCGTGAGCACAGGACAGAAAGGAAGCCAGCAGCGTTCCATGCACTGATGGTCCTCCCCAAGCACACAAAGAAAAGAGAAAGGAAGTTCCACATGAGAAGTCTGTAAGGAGAATATGAACATACCCATTTTAAGATGTGGAAATGAGAGGAATGAAATAAGAGCACAATGTCATTCAGCTAGCAGATGATAGAGCAGATTTTTCTGAATTGAAATTAATTTTTCTACATTGGTGTTATGGTTCCGTCTGAGAATCCCTGCCAATAATGAAGGTTTGCACCTCGGCCGGAATATCAAAGTGTAGTATGCACAGCGATGCAGAAGGACACCTGATTAAAGGATTTCAGAATGGGGAAGATGGCTCTGGTTTCTTTCAAGGAGGATATTGATGGGCAGGTAGAGTTGCCAGGACACAGGCTGTTTGTTTTCCTTTCATCTCACAGTGCATCAGAAGAATGAGCCCAGATACCCATTGCCCTTCTCTGTGTTAATTTCTTGGTATTAGTTTGTTTTGGTCTCACCATAAATTATCTGGGGCAAGTTTCTTACCCTTTCCGGGTTTATGTATCTTCATCTGTAAGTGTGATGATGATGAAGACTAAACTAGATGAAAGTGGTTGGTCACAACCCAACTCAATTATTTTCCCTGCCATCACTTCTTGATTTTGAGTCATTTTTCATTACGTGTTCATCTCCATGGGCCTCTCTGACTTTGACATTGCCAGTGGCTCAACACCCACTCCAGATCCCTTGTTTAAAGTGTTATCTCCTGTTCTTGCACAAGCATACTTTCATCTCTCATAGGAGCAGAGACAAGAGGCTGTCCTGATCTAAGGCTGGCTGCTCTACACAGTGAGGCACGTTTGTGTTCAGAAGAACAGGCAGAGTCAGTATGGGGTCAAGTCCCAAGGAGGGGATAGATCTGAGTGCCCTCCATTCCCGCACTGCGACCCATGGGTTGTCCTGTCCCTGGATTCAAGGATAAGGTGTCTGCCCTTAGAGCCAGGGGTGCTGGGTGGAGAGCTTTTGACCTTCTTTAGGGATTCGGCAGTGATCCCAGAGGGTCTTGAACTTGGTTGGATTCTCCAGGTTTCTAGATGGCTCCTTGATCTTTCAAAATGACCTCCAGCGTCAAGTGGACCTTCTAAGATGGCTTTCCCTGTACGTTAGCTTCTCTTCTGTCTTTCCCTCCCACCTCAGACCCTCACCCCTTCCCTGGCCAGGCCTTATTCACCTTGATGCAAGTACTAAGTTTGTTTCATTTTTGTATCTCTTGCTTATCAACTTCACATTCAATTCTTCCCATTCTCACTAGCAGTTTCCTTAGCATATAAAAAATGTTCATTCAGTATGTAATGCGTGATTAAAACCATAATAAGATTAGAAGGTTTGAATTCATGCTGAACTCAAAGAAGTCTTACATCCTGGCCATCCTGGCTAGCTCTGCCAGTATTCATATAGTCATAATAAATAATAATGAGGCTAATAAATTAATCATAGCTAATTCTATGTTTCACCTTTGACATTGTGGATACATATGAAGGTCCTGGCAGCCATTTGCTACTTGGCCTGAGACTTACAATCACCCTTAAAGTGATTTTTGCAGGAAGAATCCGATGCTTAGAGGTTTTCATTCACTTGCTCAGGATTCTCCCGAATGCTTCCTAGGGGAGCTGAGATGTATCTCAGGCCATTTACCATCATGCTGCCTCACCTGCATTGTGGGCGGCACTGGCCAAGTCTCTTCCGAGCTAAGCTGTCCTCCTGTGAAATGGAGGCAGACAGCAGAGGAAGCAATTTCAAAGGGCCCTGTTAAACTTTTCCATGAGCCACCAAACACTAATGGCTCCTGTGGCGCAGCCTTCTCCAGTCCATAAAACCCTGACTCATCTTTCTCTGTGAGCAGATCACCTTGGAAACCAGCTTTGCCTGAAATGGCCCTGCCAGATCCCTGGAGTTGCTGCCCCAGGGAAAGCTCAGTAGGAAAAGGCAGTTCCAGGAAGAGAGCTGCCTGTGTCCATTTTCAGACCTGAGAGAGGCTGTCAGGCTTTCCTCTTTGGTTGTCTGCTTAGAGATCTAGCGGAGGTTCCACTGTCGAGTGGTTAGACAGGAAAAGCAGCCTCCTTTTGCAATCTGGGCAAGGCAGGGTCAGACACTCGCCAAAGATAGGCCTCTAGAAAGTCCTCAGATGGAGATGGGAGCCCGACCTCAACAAGCCAGTGGGCTGCATGAAGGGATATGCCATTCAACACCTCTGTGCAAATTCATTCACTCAACAAACACATAGGGCAACATCCAGAAAGGAATCTCATTATGTCAAGCTCTTAGGTCATGAGATGGTGCCTTCTTCACTTCATGAGTTCACCACAGGAGCAGGTGCAAAGAGCCAGATACACACACAGGTAAACCCCACCCAAGGCCACACATAGCTTTGAGACCCTGGATCACTGCAGAGCCTCTCTGAGCCAGAGATTCCTTGCCAGCAAAATAAGGTCAATGAGAGTCCATCGTGGCCTCATCCTCTGCAGATTCTCACAGGCTGAAGGCCACACCCTGACCCCCTATCCCTTTGCTTCACTGTGCCAACCGTGCCCCTTCCCAGAGTACCCCTTACCCATATGTGTCTCAAAATTATTCAACCCCAGCAGCTGGCAGAGTTTCAGACACATGGCAGAGCATAGATAAATATTTGCTGAATGAATAAATGCCATGATACCAAGTTCGGCCTCACCTGTTCCCTCTCTCACCATCCTCCCCTCCCTGAGCCCCACATAACTTCCCCAGACAGACCAATCTTTTCTGTCTCTCCCGAGAAATTCCAGACTTCTCATGGGCAGATGTTGAGTGACACAGAACATTAGTGTTTAGTAAACATTAGTAAAAGTGAGAAACAAGTTGGTAGGGAGAGCTATTATGGTCTTTGTTTTAATAATGACTCTGGGGTTCTAAAAAATCTCAGAAGACACTGGCAAATCACCCAGAGGGGATTTAACTTGCCCCAGCACTCAGGCCCCAGGTGGCCTCCTGTCCCAACTTGAGTCTGAGCTGTCAGGTCAGGGGTATGTTCTAAAAAGTACTGATTTCACAAATTCTGGACATACTTCTTCACCAGCTCAGACACTGGGACACATTGTTCTTCTTTCGCTGGCATATAAAATAACAGCAATGTATCTAATCACCAGTGTGTCCTTGAATTGGATGATGCCCAGTATTAGCCATAACTACAAAAAGAAGAGGCAAAAGTAGTTAAGCTCACTCTCACTGACAATCCAAGAATTGCAAATGAGATCCACAAAGGAGATCATTCTGTCATTGCAGTTGGTAAAGGTAGACAAAAAAAAAAAATGATGTGACTGGATGTAAGAGAATAGAAAACATACAAGCTCTGGTCTATAATACATGTTGAGGTGATTCGTTACTATAAATTTTTGAAAGCACATTTCAGTTTTTAACATACGCTAAAAATCTTAGTTTCCTTGTGGGAGGGTTGTCGCCTTGCAGTTAGGAGATCCACAGCTCCCATCCCCTATCAGAGTGCAGGAGTTCAATCCCCACTTGTGGCTCCTGGTGCCAGTTTCATGCCATGTGCACCCAGAATGGCAACAATGAAGGCTCAGATACATTGGGCTCCTGCCACCCACAAGGGAGACCCAGACTGAGTTACCCCTCCAGGCTTCTGCCCTGCCCATTTTGGGTATTTGAGGAATGAACCAGCAGATGGAAACTGTCTCTTTCTCTCTCAGTCTTTCCCCTTTCTCCTTCTGTCCTGCCGCGCAAACAAACCAAAAAATTTTTTTAAATATTTTTTAAAGGTTTATTTTATTTTTATTGCAAAGTCAGATATATGGAGAGGAGGAGAGACAGAGAGGAAGATCTTCTATCTGATGGTTCCCTTCCCAAGTGACTGCTACGGTTGATGCTGCGCCGGTCTGAAGCCAGGAGCCAGGAGCTTCCTCCAGGTCTCCCACACGGGTGCAGGGTCCCAAATCTTTGGGTCATCCTCAACAGCTTTCCCAGGTCACAATCAAGGAGCTGGTTGGGAAGCAGGTCTGCCAGGATTAGGACCGGCACCCATATGGGATCCTCGCATGTGCAAGCAAGGATTTTAGCCACTAGGCTACCATGCCAGGCCCTCCAACAGATTTTTTAAAGAATAAAATTTAAAATGTTTAAAAATAATATGCCAGGAGTGAGGATGGCCCAAAACCCTGCACCTGCATGGGAAACCCAGGAGAGGCTCCAAGTTCCTGGCTTTGGATTGGCTCAGCTCTGGCCGTTGCAGCCACTTGGGGAGTGAACCATCGGATGGAAGATCTTCCTCTCTGTCTCTCCTCCTGTCTGTATATCTGCCTTTCCAATAAAAATAAAAGTAAATCTAATAATAATAATAGTAATATGCCAGGGGCTGGCATTGTACCCCAGTGTGCTGAGTACCTGCAATGTCAGCATCCCACACTGGAATTCTGGTTTGAGTCCCAGTTGCTCTGCTTCCACTCCAGCTCCCTGCTAATGCACTTACGGAAGCAGAGAAAGGCAGCCCAATATTTGGGCCTCTGCCACCCATGTGGCAGACTCTGATGGAACTTTGGTCTGGACCGGCTGCAGCCATTTTAGGGAGCGAATCAATGAATGAAACATTGATCTCTCCCTTCCTCTACCCAATCACTCTGTCTTTGAAACAAATGAGTAACTATTTTAAAAATCTAAAAATGCAAATAATATGCTTTCCCTCTTACTCAATTCTAGAATTTCTGGGCATTCCACTTGTGGATTTTATCGCAGGACAAATTCCTGGTTGTCCTTGGAAATGTGTCTGCAAGCAAATTCTCAGAAGCCCTATAAACAGTGGGAAAACCTTGAAGCTACCTACATTTGACAGAAGTGGAGTCGGTATGTGAAGACAATTTATGCAGTTTAAAAAGACGGAATAATGATCAATACCACTAATAATCATTATTAATTGCAAATTACGTTTATATATGCACAGAGAAGAATCCTTTTTGAATCACTGCTGAACTCACAACACAGCTTCATTCTGATTCCTTTTCTCCTTCAAGAACATTTCTGGATTGAAAGTCACTGCAATATGTGATGTTAAGAAAGCTACAGGCAATTTTTTTTCCCCCATGATTGTACTTTAACAATTTACAAAATAATCCCAATGTTTATCTTGTGTCCTTTTTCAAATGTAGTGGTTTGAGATCATTTCTAGCTTATAGGGAAATTTCATGAATAGTACAAACAAGACCCAACGGTACTTAACACATTTCTTTTTTTGTGTGTTCTTCCTGTCACAAACACATGTTTTTGCTCTCCATCTATATTTGTGCTTGCATAATTTTCGTGAAAATTGGGAAGTAGGTTACCTATACCTTTTAACCCCTTAAAATTTCAATATGCATTTCTTAAGAACAAAAATGTTCATTCACACAGCCATAGAACCATTCACAAGGTAGTGTTGATACGATACTTCTGTCTCAATTGCAGTTCACTTGGAACCTAATCAATTGTCCCCACAAGTCCTTCGCAGGAACTTAGGCTTTCCTTGCCCAGAATCCAGTTCAGCACAGAGCATCACAGTTAGCCATCATGTCTTTTTAGCTCCTTCATCTGGAGTAGCTCATCGGCTCTTTTGTCTTTCATAACAATGGTAATTATGAAACGAAGCCAGACTGTCCATCAGTTTGGGTTGTCTGATAACTTCTCATAATTTGATCCAGGTTATGCATTTTGGGTAAAATAGTACATAAGTGATGTCATATTTTTCTCTAGGCATCACATCTAGAGCAATATAATGTCTATTTGTCCCTTGGTGGTGACATTAATTCCTATTACTTAGTTATCACTGGTGATTTTTCTACTGTCCAATATCCACTTGACCTCAAGAAACAAATACTTTGGGCCTGGCATGGTAGCCTAATGGCTAAGTCCTTGGCGTGCACACACCAGGATCCCATATGAGCACCAGTTCACATCCTGGCTGCTCCACTTCCCATCCAGCCCCCTACTTATGGCCTGGGAAAGCAGTAGAGGATGGCCCAGAGCCTTGGGACTCTACCCACTAAGAAACCTGAAAGAGGCTCCTGGTTCCTGGCTTTGGATGCATTCAGTTTCAGCAATTGTGGCCTTCTGTGGAGTGAACGGTGGACAGGGGATCTTTATGGCTCTCCTCTCTGTAAATCTGCCTTTCTAATAAAAATAAATTATTTTTTTAAAAAAGAAAAGAAACAGATACTTGGAGATCACAGACATTTCCTACTTGTTATCAGATTCTTTCCCACCTACTATCTAGAATTCATGGATGATTCTTGCTGGAATCAATTTTTCCTAACAAAATCATTCTTTCTAAGCTAATTGATGTTAAAAAAAAAAGTTTCTCCAGTATTTATTTGTTTGACATTAATGTTATTATTATCAAATAGACTTAGAGTTATTTAGTGGGTTATAATTCATGACCATCTATATCCATTTTCATACTCCATTGGTTTGGCCAGTAGGAACCCAATATGCAATACGGCTGGCTCCTGTGTTATTCTGGCATGCTCCATGATTATAGGGGGCTGAAGGGAGCGGATCCCTTTCTATCTGGACAACCTTATGTTCTAGACTTACCATGTACTTTCTACACTGCAGCCATAAAATTAGCTGTTTCTCCAAGAGAACTGATTGTTTTTCATGGATAACATTTGGAAACTAAAACCTGGGTGCACACAGACATTTCACTTTTCATTTATTGATGTGATCTATTTTTAAAAATATAACTATATAACAATTTTTAAACATACACACACACAAAACAAACTATGGGGCCAGTACTGGAATGTAGCAGGTTATACCCTGGCCTGTGACACCAGCATCCTAAATCAGAACCATGGTATGTATTCCAGCCACTCTGTTTCTTATCCTGCTCCCTGCTAATTCACCTGGGACAGCAGCAGATAATGTTCCAAGAACTTAGGTGCCTGCCACCCAAGTGGAAGACCCAGATGCAGCTCCTTGCTCCTAGCCTGACCTAGCCCACCCCTACCATTATAGCCATTTTGGGAGTGTGAATCACCTGATTAAAAAAAAAATCTGTCCCTCTACATATATGTGTGTCTGTGTGTATCATTCTGCCTTTAAAATAATTTTTTAATCCTTAAAAAATAGAAAAAAAATTAGAGCTATTTTTCAGTTACAGCCATCCCTTGGTATTCAAGCAGTATTTGGACCTAAGACCTTCCCTAACCCCCCATAGATACCAAAATCCATGGATACTCAAGTCCCCTTTAAAAAAAAAAGCATTTGCATATAAGTTCTTCACCTCCTCCTGCACACTGTAAATCATCTCTACACTGCTTATAACATCACATACAGTGTATATGCTATGTAAATAGTCATTGCATTTAGGGAATGATGTCAAAGAAAAGAGTCTGTATGTGTTCAGTTATGTTCACAATTTTCTTTTCCAGATATTTCTGAGCCAAGGGTGGTTGGATCTGCAATTATGTAACCAGCAGATCTGGAGGGCTGACTACATTCCTAAACAGGAAAAAACAATCTAGAAGATGGTGAGTTGTTACCCATGCCCTTGAGAACCTTAACTCCTTGGGCCTGTGAGAATTATTTCCATCTGCTGACTCGGTCAAATGGCAAAAGCAACAGCTCCCAGATCACAGCTCCATGCTTGGAGTGGAGAGAGGCATGTACATACATGGTCACTCACCTGGGAAGAGCTGCAACCTGGTGACTTGCAATGATGCCCCAGGCAGTAAGAATAAAAGCCAACGGACAATGTTCACCCCAGCTCACGGCAGACAGATGTGCCAGCCTCTGACCACTGAAACCAGCAGCCACCTTCTGCCTGCCTCTGAGCCTCTCTCCACACACAGCCCTCCCAGCTCTAAGGACCAAACAACTGGAAAAAGACTTGCCTCAGAGGAGTTGCACATGCTCACCTTGTTTAACTGTTTCACTTCATTGCTGATAGGGTTGCCAACACAACTGGGCCCTGTCTTTGGCCAGGAGCAATGGCTGGCACTTTTTAAATCACTTTTAGAAGGGACTCTGTGTGGCCAATGGTGGTCCCTGGGTCATGGTCCAACTGTGGCCCTGAGCAACCCCTCTGCTTTGCCTCAGACCCATGAAGCATCAAGGCCTGTGGCAGTTCCAAGGGCAGCCATCCTCAGCCTGGCAGGAGTGGAAAGGGCAGGCTGCCCCTGTCCCCAACACTGGACCTATTTCCAACTGCTTAGGCTGCAGCATGGATTGTGGACATCTTGGTTTTCACACAGCTGTAAGCTCTTACACATAGCCCCTTCACTCCCTGGCAGTATGCCTAAGCTCTCTGGAGCTGATATCATCCCTCTGTCATCAGGTATTACCTTGCCTGGCCATGAGCTCAGGAAGGCAAGGGCTGCACTATCGTGTTCTTGCAGTCTCAGCACCAAGTACAGTGTCTCACCACAGACAGAGTTCAACAGGAGGGAGCAAAGGACCAAAGGAAGAACGAAGAATGGACAGATTTGAGATGGTATGAATGCAGCTGACTGAGCCAAAAGGAGAAGAATGGGATATTGGGATTCAGCAACTTGTTCTGATAGTGGGAGATGCCGAGCTCCTCTGCTGCCAGCTTCCTGTCCCAGGCTCTGTCACATCACCTTAGTTTGGTTTGTGTTCCACAAGCGTTCTTGGCATCTGCCATGCTGTGTGTGTGCTTGCCTATTCTCAGTCTCCCTAGCCTTGCCCCCTCCTCTCAGCTGCTCCATAGCAGTGCATAGGAACTTGCTTCCTACTCAGCTCCATCCCAGCCCTGGCAAAGCCCAGGTATGTAGTAGACACTCCAGCTATTTACTGAGTGGTAAATAAGTCAGTGAGTGAACTCCTATTCCTTATAATAAGAGGTTCATTTTCTGCCTTCTAAACCTTGCTTTCACCCATCTTACACCTGCCATATTAAACTTAAGCTACATCCTTTCCTATAAGTTTCTTGAAATGATAAGTTTCTAGGACATTTTTGTTCTTCCTCTAGCTTCCTTGATTGTCTTCTGTTTTTCATCTCTTTTACAAACATTTATTGAGGGCTGCCATGGTCTTGTGGTGTCCTGGACACTAGGAACACAAACAGGACTCAGGTGTGGGGTCCTGGTGTAAAGACTGTCAGAAAGAAGGCAGGAGGGTGTACAAATGTTCTTTGTCCCTACTTAAGCCCTGTCTGCTTGACTGAAGACATCCTGTTGAGTGCTGCTGTTTAGGAGGTTGACTACATGCTAAGCCTATTACAGTATGACAGTAAATGTGGGGAGATTTAGTCCAGACTGTCCTATTCAGTGTAGAAGAACATGGTCACTTGAAATTCTTGCAACAAAGATGCTAAGACTGCTCCAGGTAAAAGACTGACCAGTCTTTGTGGCCACCTGTGCGTGAGGCACATGAAGAGAAATTGTATGCATGTTAGGGTGGCGGATGAGTCCCTCCTGTCCTTTAGAATTAAATGGAAGAATTCTATAGCAGGGATGGAGAGAACAGGAAAGGAAAAGACTAGCATTTCACTGGTAAAGAACATTTTTCCCTCATTATACATATTTTTTATAACTTTATTCAGATTACAAACTTAATATGCACTGACTACCAGGGAAGGTGGGGGTGAGATGGGGAGGGAAACAGAAAATATAAATGAGAAAAAAGCAATCTCTGGATTTTCCACAAACAAGACACACACACACACATTCATGCACACAATGGTAAACTAATGTCGTTGAGATATTCCTTATTTCCTTCCTAAGTGGGAGTTTGGTTGTGCACATGTTGTTTATGTCATTACTATCTCTTGCTTTTATCATTTGGTATGCCACAAGTATTTTTCCCATATAGTTAAAAAAATGCATCAGAAGTGGGAAAAATAAGTTACAAAGCAATAATTATAATATTATATCAGGGAAGAATACAAAATAATGTATTTTTCCACGGACATGGACATGTGGAAGGTGTTTATATAAAACTCTGAATGACTACTTTTCTTTTTTTAATACATTTTTATTTTGAATTTTTAATTATGTGGTACAATTTTGTATAGGCTGGGATTCTCCCCAAACTCCTACCCCCATTAGATTTTTCCTACTTTGTTATAATAGTGTAGTCCTTCATAAGAAATCATAATTCTATCAGTCTCTTATTTGATTGTACCCCGACATCGTTGGTACAGACGATGTCAGATAGTCCAGCATCCCATCGTCTACACATGTGAATGACTACTTTTCAAACAAAAAAACAACAAAGCGTCTATGGAAAGATGAACAAAAAAGAGACTGATGCCAGAAAATGCTGAGCTTTACCTGTAAGGCTCAATTTAAATAAAGACTGTGCAAGACTCAAGCTTTTGTGAAGTCTGCATATAATCAAAACTATTTTTAAGAATCAATCTTACGAGCCAATGCCGTGGCTCAACAGACTTTCATCAGCGGCATCCCATGCGGGCACCAGCTTGTATACTGACAGCTTCACTGCCCATCCAGTTCTCCGCTTTTGGCCTGGGATGGCTGCAGAGGATGGCCCAAGTCTATTCTAAATACTTTTCTGGTGAATGTCTTTGGGTATAAATCATTGTCTTAATCTCAGATGATTTCCTTCGAATGGATTCCTACAAGTGAAATTCTTGGATGCCGTTCATCCACTTGCACTCCTCTAAGAACCACTTGTCAGGGACTGTGCCACCACATCCTCACAAACACTCAATTCCATCAATTTTAAACTCATTTCTAATTTGGTGCTAATTTAATTTTAATTAGTGCTTCTCTATATCTAGTTTAGCTTAAATGTTTTTTTATAAATATTCTCATGAGTTATTTCCTTCCTGAGGAAAGAAATTTCTGCACAGACTTTAAGGGAAGAAGAAATATCTATAAGACAGGATGCATGAATGTAGAGCCATGCTATGTTTCTGTTTTGTTTTTGTCCTTGGGGGTTTCTTGGGAGGAAGAGACGCTAAGAGACAAGTTAGAGGAGAGCGAGGGTGACATCAACGATGAGTCAGCCTGAAGCTCATAAAGTTAATCTTCCTAAAAGGCAGCCCTGGTTATATCACTGACCTGTCACACACCTGCAATATCTCCCCATCAGCCACCAAGAGAAAATCCTCTTCAGTGGATGCCAGCCCATCTCCCAAGGACGCGTCCCATTTCTGCACATCTCTTATGTTCCAGTCAAGAGCATGTTCTTGCCTGTTCCTCAAACAGGTAGCTCAACCCTGCTCCTTCCCTGTGCTCCTGTTGCTTCTCCAACTCATGAGATACCCACCCTGCTCACCCCCACATCATGTCCACAAGGACTCCACACACTATCTCTCCTTCAGTCCTATTTCTAATTATTCTCTAAAACATGTGATTTCATTCCTTGATTGTGTCTTTGTTCCTGTAGTAAGTATTGAGGACCAAGAGGCAACCCCTGGGGTAAACATGTGCTGTTTAATTTTAGGTGGTAACTTGACTGTGCTAAGAGACAGCCAGATCACTGGTAGAAGAGTATGATCCTACTTGACAAAGTTTGTGTAAACTAGAACTAAAAGATGCACATTGCTGTATAAAATAAATGCAATTCATGTATAATTTTTCCATGATACATACTTTCCCTGAACTTCTTGGAGACTGCTCATGTTTCTAGATGTGCTTTGGGAAAGGTCTCTGGAAGAGACTAGCATTGGGATCAGTAACCCAAGTAAAGAAGATCCACCTTCACCAAAGTGAGTGGGTGTCACCCAATTCTTGGAAGGCTCAATTAAGTCAGACACACATGGAGGAAGAGCAAACTTTTTCTCTGTTGATTCTGAGACATCCATAGTCTTCCATCCTTAAACCCCAGTGCTCCTAGGTCTTGGGCCTAGGAACTTGGATTTTTATCACTGGTTTTTCTGGTTCTTAGACTTTAAACTTGGACTTGAACCATATCACCAGCTTTTACACTTTTTAAAAAAGCTTTATTATTTTTATTGGAAAGTCAGATATACAGAGAGGAGAGACAGAGAGAAAAATCTTCCATCTACTGGTTCACTTTTCAAATGGTTCAGGGCTAAAACTTGATCTTCCATTGTTTGATTGTGAAATTCTTGAAAAACCATTTGCTGCTTGTTAAAGCTTGTGTTCCCCCATCCTGAAAGGGTGCAATTTATTGAATTTCTCTCAAAGAATTCCTAGGAAGATTACATGAGTTCCCTAGAGTACACAACACAGGTATATAGTAAGCCCTTGATCAAAACTAGTTATTATTCTATGGGTATAAAAGAAGGCAAAGATAAAAAATCATGAGGCATAAAGCTGTGAAGATTGCAATATGAACTCTATAGTTCATATTCAAGTCCCTGTTGATACTTGCTTGAAGTATGTAAAAGGAAACATTTTGTAATCAAGGAGTGAAATGTTTTAATCAACACACATTGTGTGGACTTGTGGGACGTCATCAAACCATCATCTCCAGTTCTACAGGAAGTATGCATTTCACAGCTAGAGTGACAAGATGTTGACACAATTTCACTGTCATCATTCATTTATTGATAATACATAATAAAGCACATTGAAAGTAAAGATACAGGGGCACTGCTGTGGCATAGTAGGCTAGGCCTCTACCTGTGGTCCCTGCAATCCATATGGGTAGTGATTTGAATCTCAACTGTATTCCTTCTAATCCAACTCCTTGCTTACAGCCTGAGAACACAGCAAAAGGTGGACCAAAGCCTCAGGTCCCTGCATCCACATGGGAGACCCACAGGAGGCTCCTGGCTCCCGGCTTCACACCAACCCAAATCCAGCCATTGCAACCATTTGGAAAGTGAACCAGCAAATGGAACCTCAATTGCTCTCTCCTCTCTCTCTCTCTCTCTCTCTCTCTCTCTCCCTCTCTCTCTCTTTCTGCCTTTTCTTTTCTCTGTGTAACTCTCTTTCAAATAAAAATACATAAATTTTTAAAAGAAAATATAAGATACATCTCAGTGGACTAACAGTTAAGGTATAATGCTCTCCAAGAGAGTGATAAATAAGCAAGATTTCAAATTAATAGTTGTTTTTGTACTAAACTGAGGGAAATAGAAGAGAATTGACACCTTTGACCTTCCGGTCTGATGGTAGGAATCTCACCGCATTCATTTCTGATAGTCTCTATATTTTTCTGTGGTGGGTCTCAACCAAAGATAATCTGGGTAGAAATGCTTTAAAGCATTAGAGAAACACAAAGCCATGTTTTCTAGCAGAAAGGGCTTTGCACGGATGAGGCCCCAGGACGCTTGGACTCGGACGGCTGTAGACTCAAGACGTCAAAGCAGCTCTGTGAGTGTTGAGCTTGACCTGCCTCATGACTTGGTCACCATCCAAGACTGCTGCCGCCAATCTGTGCCTGATTCTCTCTTTCCTCAGGGCTCAGCTCTGCCAGCAGCAGCCACTGGCTCTGAGAAATAAAAGCTCAGGATTTTCCCAGTCATTGCATAACATCCGGTGCAGATCTGCTCTGGGCCCCGGCATGTCCGAAACAGCACACTGAGGATCACGCTGTGTGGAGCAGCCCATGGTGACAGGTCCTGGGGCGGAGAAGGCAGTAGGCAAGCCCATACGGGGCTGCATCGCAGGCTCGACAGGCCTCAACTGTGACGGTGCAGTCCTCACTGGCCAAGGGGCCTCCTGCTCACTCACAGCCCAGCCCAAATGCTCGTTCACACTTGCTACGCTGTGGCAGGTTGGGCGTCTGTGCAGGTGAAAGGAACCAAGGGGTCTGGCTTCACAGATTTGCATGGCAAACGTTCCTTTCCCCTATGTCTGAGACACTTGCAAAAACACACTTGTTGAAAAGGCAAAATACATACAGAGGAAAAAATATTATCCCCAATCCCAATCTCCCCCACACGGGAGTGGGAAACGTCTGGCCCACAGGCTGTGTAAGGGCCATGGATTCATATGCTCTGGCCCAAGGAAACCACAAGTGGGACTTAAAATTCCATGTATCTATGCCAGGCTAATTTTTTTTTAAAGATTTATTTTTATTATTTTTTCATTGGAAAGGCGGATATACAGAGAGGAGAGACAGAGAGGAAGATCTTCGGTCCGATGATTCACTCCCCAAGTGAGCACAACGGCCAGTGCTATACCGGTCTGAAGCCAGGAGCCTCTTCCGGGTCTCCCACGCGGGTGCAGGGTCCCAAAGCCTTGGGCCGTCCTCAACTGCTTTCCCGGGCCACAGGCAGGGAGCTGGAAGGGAAGCGGGGCTGCCGGGATTAGAACCGGCACCCATATGGGATCCCGGGCGTGCAAGGCGGGGACCTTAACCACTGCGCCATGGCGCCGGGCCCGCCAGGCTAATTTTTTAAAAAAGATTCATTCATTTATTTGAAAGTCAGAGTTACAGGGGTGGGGTGAGGAAAGAAGCAGAAAGAGAGAGAGAGAATTTCTGTCCATTGGTTCATTCTCCAAATGAACACAATGGTCAAAGCTGGGCTGGTCCAAAGCTGGGAGCCAGGAGTTTTTTTCCAGGTATCCCACATGGATGTAAGGACACACAGCCTTCACTTCTTTGCATGTTATCAGGGAGCTGGATTGAAAGTGGAGCAGCCAGAACTCAAATCAGCACCCATATGGGTTGCCAGCACCACAAACAGAGGCTTAGCCTAATACGCTGCCATGCTAGCATCATATCAGGCTAATTTTCAGGCTGATAATGTTGTGTGGCCTGAAAAGGATATTACAAATATCCAAATGGTCCTTGCCAGAAAAAGACTTCCCACTGATGATTATAGAAGTAACATTTGGTATATGCCTTAACATTTTGGTATATGCCTTTTTTGGGGTGTGTGTGTGTTATTTGTGTGTGTTGTGTGCAATAAACACGAAAGGCAGGGGAGGAAAACAGAGTCCAAGTACTCTAAAGTCCTTGCATTTTTTTGGGAAGTGGTAAGAGTGCTCTCCACAAAGGTGCATTCTGTACTAACAGTAATAAATCAAGAATATACACTGAAATTCCTTGCGTAATAACTTAAAGAATGTTGAAAACACATACAACTACATGCACTACCACAAGACACTGAAGGATGAGCAAAAACAAAGTAGTTAACAGAAGAGATATAGCACTTGGAAGAAGGACATAGTACAGGGTGAATCTCATATTTTAATGGCTTTTTTGGCTGAAGGCAGGTGTCAGTCTGTTACATACAAGGCAGCTAACTCTGCAATAGAATCTGACAGGTTTGCGACTTTGGCAGACAATAGATTTCAGGGTCACCATAGATGCTGGGAAGTGAGGATGCCAATAGCCCAGCTAAGACAAAGACATTTGACCCAAACTTCAAGGAAGACAGAGTTTGTAGTTCAAATTCAGCCAACTTAACTACTTGTTTTTAAAATTAATATCATTTATAGTATCATTCACAATGTCCAGTATATTATCCAAAATTGAGTGATAGATAGATAAATAGATAGATAGATAGATAGATCTGTGGGAAATGTTGGTCACTTTCTGATTTCCTGCTAATGATAATTTCAAGAGAAAAGGCAATTAATAGCAATCAGCAGACAAGGATTTTTTAAAGTTTTATTGATTTATTCTAAAGAGTTACAGAGAGGAAGAGCCAAGGAGGAAAGGGTCTTTCATTCTCTGATTCACTCCCCACATGGCTATAACAGCTGCCATTGGACCAGGACCAAGCTAGGAACCAGAAGCTTCACCCAGGTCCAGACACTTGGGCCATCACTATTGCCATCAGCAAGGAGCTGGATCAGAAGTGGAGCAACCAGGACATGAATAAGTGTCCCTATAGGATGCTTGCATTGCAGGCAGCAACCTTATCTACTAGGCCACAATATTGGCCCCACAGATGAGGATTTTAAGGAAACTCCATAGCAATGTTCAGCAATATATAAGAAGGGGCTGGCACACTGGCATAGCATGGTAATTCTCCACTTGTGGCATTAGCCTCCCATATTAGCACAGATTCATGCCCTGTCTGCTCCACTTCCTTTCCAGCTCCTGTATTTATAGCCTGGGAAAGCAGTGGAGGATGGTCCAAAGCCTTGGGACCCAGTATCCATATGGGAGACCCAGAAGAAGTTCTCAACTACTGGCTTCGGAACAGCTCAGCTCTGGACATTGTGGTCACTTGGGGAGTGAAACAGTGAAAATAAATTAATCACAGTATCCAATTTGAGGAAGAAAAGGAAAAAGATTGAAAGCTGGAACTGTCGAAAGAAAGGAAACAAACAAAAACCTATCAATCCAGAATTCTATCACGTGAAAATCTGCAGTGCAACTTTCCAGCATACTTGCACTGTGAGGAAACAGAAAAGAAAGGTATTGCGTTAAAGGAACTTACACC